CGGAGCCCACCCGTCCTCACGCGGCCCGCCCGCCCGTCGCTCGCTCGGGACCGGGGTTGAGGCCCGCGACCAGGGGCCCCGCGCCGGGCCTGGGTTTCCGCTCCCGCGCTGGGGCTGGCCTCTTGCCTACTGTCCCTAGCTGTGGGCTGCAGATCCCCCCCATCCTGGGGGGACGGAGGGGGGACCCCCAAAATGTCTAAGGGAAAGTTTTGATCTTGGGTCACTGGAGAAGGGGACAAAATGACCTCAGCAGTCTCCAGGGCACGAGCCGTTCCATCCCCAACCCCCAAATGTGATCAAACTTAAGCACCAAAATCAAGGGTTTTGTATTGTCACTGAATATCAAGTTCTCCTAAGGGTACTTCCCGTTGTCCCCGATCCCCTCTATTCCTTTTTGGAGTCATTCGTGCACTTAACAAACACGCTAGACCCATGCCAGGCACGGGGACTTCAAATGCCCAAGAGAGACAGACCTTATCTGAAAACCCGGAATGGCAAATTTGGGCATCATTCAGATTCCTTTAGGACTTCGGAATCCTAGTCATGCATTGCTAATTCAGGTCCCGCTAAACAGATTTCTCCCATTGAATAATTATTGAGTGTGAAAAAACAGACCTAGTCGTAGTTCCTATCCTGGTGGCCGTTACAGCCTAGTGGAAAATACAGGCGTGAATCAAAGACACGAATAAGTGTGGAATCACAACTGTGATGAGTCCGGTGAGGGATTGTTGCTTGGTGACATATGAGTGTAGAAGGGAAATTCAGCCTGCCTAGGGTGGGAAGAAGCTTCCCTGCTTACCCACCAGCCTGGGGCTGAAATAGGTATTAGTCCAATCATCACATTACTGAATAAATGGATGCAAACAGAGGTGTTTGGGAGGAAAGGAACACATTTTTATGAGTAGCTGTCACAAGAGAACCTACTTGATTGAGGGGAGGGAGGACAGTGAAAAGGAGGGCAGGGATCTCTTCCCTAATAAGGAGACTTGTGCTAAGGTCCAAAGGCTGAGTCGGAGCTGATTAGAGGAGGCAGCTGAGAGTGTGGTGGGACTGCATTCCAGCCAGTAAATGGCCTGTGCTAAAGAAGGAAGCATGGCACCATGGAGGGGCAAACAGAAAGCTACTGTGGTGGAACAGAGTGACCATGTCAGCTGAACCAGATTAAGCCAGAGGAGGGAGGGACCCTGTTGGGTCAGGTAAGGATCTGGGTCTGGTCCCAAGAGCAATGGAAAGCCACTGAGGGGTTTTAGGCAGAAGGCACGCACATATTTGAAATCAAATCACTCTGTCTGGCCACTAGGGAAGGAGATGGAAAGGGCTGAGGGATTCAAGAAATACTGATCTCATACAGAGGGATTTATACACACAATGTTCATGGGAATGTAAGATGGCGCAGTCAACTGTGGAAGACAGGATGGTGCTTCCTCAAAAAATTAAAATTACCATACGTCGCAGAATTCCAGTTCTGGAAGTATTCCCAGGAGAATTGAAGGAGAGTCTTGCAGGGATAATTGCACACCATGTTCACAGCAGCATTATTCACAATAGGCAAAAGGTAGAAGCACCCCAAGTGCCCATCCACACTTGTGGCACATACATCCAATGTAGTATTATTCAGCCTTAAAAAGGAAGGAAATTCTGCCACATGCTGCCACATGGATGAGCCTTGAGGACATTATGCTGAATGAAATAAGCCAGACACAAAAGGACAAATACTGTATGATTCCACTTATATGAGGTCCCTAGAATAGTCGAGTTCATAGAGACAGGAAGTAGAAGGGTGGTTGCCGGGGGCTCAGGGGAGGAGAGATGAAAAGTTATGATTTCATGGGTACAGTGTTTCAGTTTGGGATGATGAACAAGTTCTGGAAATAGGTAGCGATGATGGTTACACAACAATGTGAATATACTTAATGCCACTGAACTGTACACTTAAAATGGTTAAGAGGATAAGTTTTATGTTATGTGTATTTTACCACAATTTTTTAAAGAGAGTGAGAGATTTACATACAACCTCCAAGGTTCTGACTCACCTGTGGTGACTTCTCACTTTGTAATGATAGAGACATGTATGTATTTCTAGACACCTCAGGTCTAACATCATATTAAATGTAAGAATTGCGCACAAACTGACAAACCTAGACAGTTCTTTTCCTGAGGAGAAAGAAACTGTGATAACAACGCAAGGTGCTTGCAGAGCCGACTCACTGTGACTTTGGCAGGGTGAGACACCTATTTAATCATCGCAATTCCGCTTTCCTTACCCAGTAAGTCATTGGATATATTGACAGCTTCCACAAAGAAGGTTTAAAAAAGGTCACTGAAAAGGCACTAAACAACCTAAATATGAGAAACCGAATTTTCTTCTCACTCCCTGAAGGCCTAGGGGCCATGCTAAAGCTGTCTCACAAAGCATTCACTCAGAAAAAGAAAAATAAAAAGCTTGCAAGGGAGAACTTAGTCAACCTTTGGGAGGCCCATGATACCCAGGCTCTTACCTTGATAGAAGCTTGTGGAGCTGGTGGCAGAAACAACTCAAGGCACTAAGCCATCAACAAGAAAACCACACTGTATTGGGAGGTGATGTTTAAGGTCATGTTAAAGAGAGGCAATAAAATATCTAGACAAACAATCCATTCAAGGAAATATGCAGAAAGGGCTGGCTGGTTAGCTCAGTTGGTTAGAGCTCAGCCTTGTAACGCCAAGGTCACAGGTTTGGATCCCCATACTGGCCAGCCAGCAAAAAACAAATAGGCAAGAAATATGAACAGATACTTCACCAAAAGAAGATATATGGTTAACAAACAAGCGTATGAAAGCTGCTCAACATCATTAATTATTAGGAAGCAAATTAAAACCACAATAGGATATCACTACACACCTATTAATATCACCTTAAAAAAAAAACCCCCAAACTGACTATCAATGAGAATGTGGAACCCTCATGCGTTCCTAATGCAATGCAAAATGGTACTGCCACTTTGAAAGACGGTTTGTCAGTTTGTTATAAAGTTAAACTTCATTTACCATAGGACCCTTGATCGCATTCCTAGATATGAACTCAAGTGAGATGGAAGCTTATATTGAAGGTCAAGGGCTCAAACAAAACGAAAAACAACAATCTTACGTTGACACACAAACCTGTATGTAAATATCACAGTGGCTTTATTCATAATCACAAAAAACTGGAAACAGCCCAATAACCCAAAGGTACCTCACCTGGGGCATGGATGAACAAACCGTGGTGCAACCATACGATGGAATCCTTTGCCAATGAGAAGCAGCAAAGTATCTACACACAGAATGACAGGGGTGAGTCTTGGGTGCACCATATATGATTGCATTGGTATGACATTCTGGAAAAAACAAAACTATAAACACAGAAACAGATGGGTGGTTGCTGGGGGCTGGAGGTCTGGGGAAAAGTTGACCACTTGGGGATTTTCTTTTGGTGGGGATGATGATTGTGGTGGCAACGATATGACTCTACGTATTTGTCAAAAGTAGCAGAAGTATGCAGTAAAAAGAGAGAATTTTGCTCTATGTAAATCATACCTTCATTTAAATTTTTTAAAAAAATCTAGAGAGATTGTATTTATAAACCCCAGACAAGGCTTAAGAGCTGTACTGTCCAATTCAGAATTCACTAGCCACATATGATCACTTCAATGCATACTCTAATTAAAATGAAATAAAATGAAACATTCCATTTCTTAGTGGTATGAGACACATTTTGAGTGCTTAGTAGCCACCTGTGGCTAATGGCTATGGTATTGGTCAGCATGGATAAACAAAAGTTCCATCACTGCAGAAAGTTCTATTGGACTATGCTGCTCTAGAGACTAAAGAGTGACTGGGCTACTACCCTCCTCTCCCTTCATCTTCCAAAGTCTGGGAATCTCACCATGCAGCATGTGCCAGGCACAGAGTAGCCACACAAGATCCACGAAGAAGCCATAATGGGGTAATTCCCCTGCTTTAAGCCTAAGTTGTCCTCATTTTGACTGAGGTTGCAAGGTAAATATGTTCAGAACAGCAGAATAAAGCCTCCATCACAGGAAAGGATACTTATGGAAATCCCTCATCCTAGTACTGCTGAGTCTGACAGGGGGATGAAGCTAAGGAGAAGCAGCCTCAAAATCTGAAAGCTGCTGATCCAGGCTGGTATCTTAGAAGGATTGGAGCTCAATAAATACTTTTTGAATGACTGGGGAACTCAGACCATTCTTCTATGTTCTCATCATCCCCTTCCTTTTCCTGTCCTCTGGATGTTACTTCCTGCTGCTTCTATATCCTTCTCAGATCCTTCCTGCATCCCCAATATTGCTTCTGTCCTGTTCATT